CCCCGAAGGCGCAGATGATGGTTGGCACTTTTTTGGCAATACAGTGTTTTTAAATTAGGGTGTGTACATTGTTTTTTTGGACATAATGCAATTGCACACTTAACAGGTTACCGTCTAGTGCAAACATAACTCCTATGTGCGCTGGGAAACCAAAACATTCTGCAACTCACTTCACTCGACAGTCGCTGTACTTCTGTGGTCTGGAACCAAACCCATGGGATCTTTGAGGTGTGTCCATATTTCCAAGAGCACACAACACATGCCTTACATTTTATCACTGGCGACCCAGATTTTCACAGGTCCTGTCGTTCTAAGCTGACAAGCCAGCCAGCTCTGGGAAGACATGTGTTTTGATGATTTTGAGAAGGCCAGCCTCACTTACAGCCTGTGACGTGTTCAACCTCCGTGAGCGCAGTGCCTGGGTGAGTTTGAGATTTCTGCCTGGCCCTGAGAGCCATCTTTAAAGAGATTACACAAACTCAAATACTGGAATAAAAGCAACATTTTAAAATTAGAGCATTTCTACTTCCAACCGTGCAACGTACGTTGTCCAATTTATTGCAGATGATCTTTGCATAACAAGCATTGTTGTCTCTGCAGGCCACCGTCCACTCGAGCGGCCAGAACACAGTGTGGTAGACCTGGAACAGAGAGGCCGAGGTCAGTCTCCGGGAACCACGCCCTGACAGGCTCCGCATGATACAAAGACGACAAGCACCCTCAAATGAACGTCTTTTCCTTTCGACTTGAAATACCACCTTTGTCACACACTGATCTTCTCAGCACCGGAGTCAACCCGGATGTGGAGTTTGCCCCCAGTCTTTCTGTCCCCCTGTGCGGCCTGCAGCACCCTGTTAGTCGCCGCAGCTCTGTGACCCATCTTATAGCATCCACAGTGCCGGTCTCCTGACAACTACTTGTCCTTTTCACAAGTTTTCACTCTTTGATCAGATTACACACAATAATCAGAGGCGACATTTCAAAGCTACGCTGTGAAGAACAGCCGCCCCGCGCCCCGTCACCTCCCCTTCCGGCTCTGCTTGCCGAGGAGGAGGGTTTAACTTTCCTCCCTGGCCCCTCCCCCACCCCATTACGGTTAAATTCATCATTAGATCAATGCCAGCGTTTCCTTCACTAGGTCGAAGCTCTTCACAGAAGAATGGACGCCCACCTGCGAAGGATGAAGCTGGAGCCCCACCCCACACCGTGTAACGCAGAATGGATCACAGACCCACACGTAACAGCTAAAAGCTCTGGAACTCTTGGAAGACAACACGGCGTAAGTCTCCACAACCTTGGGTTACACAACGATTTACTACAAGTGACACCAAAAGACAAAAGACCATAGGGGAAAAAAAGACGAACTGGCCCTCATCAAAGTGACAGGTGTTTGTGCTTCAAAGGGCACCATCAAGGAAGTGAACCAGCACGCCAGAAAGGGTGCGAGTTTCACAAATCGTGCAGAGAGCACCTGAAGAACCCTTCCAGCTCAACAGTGAAGGCCCAAGTAACCCAGCTTTTAGCAGGGCAGAGGATCCGAACGGACAATTCTCCCAAGAAGACATGAAGGCCAGCGAGCGCAGGAAAAGGTCTCCACACCACTGGTCACAGGGAGATGCAGACCAAACCTTCACGAGATGCCTCGGGGCCGGCGCAACAGCTTCCCAGGGCTGTTCAAACAGCTTACCACACATGTGGCTTAAACCGGAAGAAATTTGCATCCTCACAGTTCTGGAGGACAGAAATCTGAAATCAGATTGTCACACAGCCAGACCCCTTTCTAAGGCCCTAAAAGGAAAGCCTTCCCACCCACTCTGGCTTCTGGTGTCTCCAGGGTCCCCTGGCTTTTGGCAGTGTGAGCCCAGTCTCTGCTTCCGTCCTCACCGGCCGCCCCTCTTCCATCTCTTACGAGGACACCTGTCACTGGATCTGAGGCCCACCCAGAACACACAGGATGACCTCAAGACTCAGTTCCACCTGCAAATACCTTTCTCCCCCTCAAACAAGGTCACAGCCACAGGTCCTGCAAGTGGGCTGCGGACGCATCTTTCTGAGAGTCGCCATTCAACCCGCAGCACGGCTATAATCAAAATACACAGGCAAGAACACGTGTCGGCCAAGACGTGGGGGGACTGGAGCCCTTGCCATTGCTGCTAGCAGTGCAAAACGTCTGGGCTTCTTCACTCAGGACACCGTGGCATCTCCTTCCCTCTCCGCCTCCCTCCTGAGTGGCGGTGTCAGGGGCGGAGCGACTGCCTTTGAGAACAGCAGTCTACTCCTTTTTCTCTGCCCTTTGGGTAACGCCTCCCCTCGTGCTGGCAGGTGTGTGAGTAACCTCACCTTCTACTCGCATCCCAGTCACAAGCACAGGAAGCTAGAAGCCCAGAGACTGCACAGGGAGAGCCGGAGAGCTTTTGGAACAACAGACCAGAGTGCTGGACTCTGAGCAGTGAGGGCAGCCTCCCTCCATGGGCCTCGTACTGCAAACAGCGAGGAGCTAGACTGTGTGTCTGAGCACTGGGACCTCATTACAGGATTTGAGGCAGGGAGACCGCACTGATTTTCACTTTTAAAAGAGTCTCTGGCTAATGCGTGATGAGCAGACTGGACTGAGTGGAGAGTGACCAGGAGGCAGGCGGTAAGCAGGGCATCGGCAGGAGGTGATGGTGGCTGAGCGGGTGGGGAGGGAGGGGGAAACGGGCACAAATGGGTTCACACGAGACACAGCCTGGCGGAAACCCTGGCGGGACTGCCCGGAGGCCTGACTGCTGATGGAGAACAACAGGGAAGAGCTCAGGGTGCTCTCAGGTCTAGAAGCACATTTAGGGTTTCTTTCTGGAAACCAAACTTGTCTTGGATTCTCAGAGAAGTTCATATTAAACAGGTTAAAACCTTGGTTTTACTACACAGTTCTGCACTAAGTCAGGGCACCAGGGAGCCACACATTAGCACAGCCCTATCCTGGAGCCTTCGGGAGCCTTTCTCCTCCCACCCCACCCCCAGCTGAGGTACAGCTGGCGTCCGACATCAGGGACATACCTTTTCTCACGCTGACTTGGGCGTCATGCCAGCGGCTGCTCTTCTGGGTCTAATAAGAAACAGTTCTAGAAGACCCACTCCTGCATCTACTAGGCAGGAATCTTAAGGGTATGATTCACCAAATCTCAGTGCCCCTTTTAAGGAACTTGAAGGAATGGCTCTCAACTCTCCCTCCTCAAGACAGGCAGCAGGAAACTCGGAGTGACATTCTCAGCTTAACCCTAAAGCAAGCCCGCAGGCCTGACGGCATGAATTCTGCGGCCAG